TCTGCTGGGTTTCGATCTTGCTTTAGTAAACATTTCCTTGCTATCATTCCATTCTTTCACTATGGACTGGAAATGTTTACTGCATATCATCGTTCATTGGAAGTACGGAGCTTGTTTTATTTCATATGGACTCCTAGTTAAGCTAAGAGTGCCTCGACTTCAGAGAAGACGATAGTGCTCTTGAACAATTCTGGAACTGCTAAGACTTTGGGGACTTCAAGGATGGGCTAAGTGAATTTTGCATTGTGAGATGAACACGAGCCTTTAGTGACTATAAGACTGAAATTCATTATTTAAAAGTGTGTAACCATCCTTACAGGAATGAAGATACTATAAACAGATACTGTGTCCCTTCCTTCGGCTCTCTGGCTATTGAGACCATGGACCTCAAGCTGGAAAGAGGAAAAGACTAGGATTCTGGCACCAGTCGGAGGCAGAGCTTGTCTCTGAGAATTTTCACAAAATATTGACTTGTCAGACCACTTTGCAGGAGAGACTGAGTTGAGACAATGAAGGTGGGTGGGACCACACTTCAACTAGGAGTAACTTATTCACACCCCATAGCCTCTACTAGGATTGAGTAGCTCATTCAAACCCCTTAGCCTCTGCTTAAACCTCATGTTAGAACCTAAAGACAGACTGGAAGTGGGTGGGTCACTGGGGTTCTTGGCTCCTCTTCCTAGTGTGGTCACATTTCATAAATCTGCTTTTCAGTATTCTTTGTTTGCTTAAGTGTCCCGTTGGCAATGGGTGGCCAAGCCTGGCTTGTTAGGTGCGGCCAGGGTTCAGGCTCTGATCCTAAAAACTCCAAGTCACAATTTAAGTGACCGAACCAAGAAGATAGACACTTTTGATTTGTTTGTTTCAGCCACTTGGAACAAACTGACCTCAGATGAAGAAGACTGAAGGGTCCTGCACAGCTATTGGAGGCATTTCATTCCTCAGACTTTCTCTTTCCTTCCCATGTCTGGAGGCCATCAGTTGTTTTTATAGGGTAAACTGGAGAAATGAGTATTTGGACTTGGTTTGGATTTCAAAAAATGCTGACCCTTAGTGAGCTTCTTGTCAGGGTTTCCAGGCTTTGCTTTCCTGTTGGTTTGGGGCTACTTTGAGCTATTTGGGTTCATTTTAAACCGTTTTGGTAATTACTGTTTGGTAACTGGCTTTGCCTGTTAGAACTCTGAGCTGATTGAGTTGTGCTGAATCATTTGGAATGTTATGATGTTCGTATGACAGGACTGGCATGTTATGATGTTCGTATGACAGGACTCGTCCCATTTGGAAATTTGGGGGGTCTCTCTTGAGGCAATCATGGTTCTGTTCAACCAGAGAGAGAGAGAAGTGAGGTGTTAAGGAGATCTTTTCTGTGATTTGTATAACCATAGAGACTGCTAATATCTTTTATTATGTTGGTGCCCCCTAGGGAGAATTTTGATTAGAGTTTTGTATGTTCATGATGGTTTTAAGGCAGTGTGAGGCAAGACAATCTGTTCCTAGAATTCCTGGAAATAACTGAGTTGTAAATCTCTGGCTACTTCATCTCTGCATTTCTTTTTTTTTTTTTTAAAGATTTATATTTTCTGCGTACGAGTGTTTTGCTTGCAGGTATGTTCGTGCACCATGTGTCTGTAGTGTCTGTAGAGGTCATAAGAGGGTGCTGGGTCCCCTGGAACTGGAGTTAGAGATGGTTGTGAACCATTATATGGGTGCTGGGAAATACGCCTGGGTCCTGTGCAAGAGCAGCAAGTGTTCTTAACTGCTGAGCCATCTCTCCAGCTCTTCATCTTTGTGTTTCTGTCTTCAAGTCATTTGTGCTAAAATTGTGATTCTCATCATGACTAATTTAAACTGCACGTGGGCTTGGTGCCAGCATCTGACGGGCAGAGCCATTTCTCTGGTCCCCCTAGCTATTCTCTTTATGCAAAGACGTTCTCTAATACTGTGTACTCTAGGCAGTGCTTCCTAACAATTTTAAACGTATTAGACACTGGTCACCTAAGGAGTACATCTTTAAATAAGTACTTCATTTTTAGCTCTCATTGGCCGTATTAAAAAAAAATGTATATTACTCTTCCCTCCTCCACTTTTTGAGACATGATCCCTTTACATAGACTTGGCTGTCCTGGAACTCACTATGTAGGTCACACTAGCCTTGAACTCACAGAGATTCTCCTGCTTCTGCCACCCGAGGGCTGGTATTAAAGGTTTGTGCCACTACACTTGAACTATGTTTTTGAGATATGAAGATATTACTCACAGAACAAATAGGGTGGGTTCTAGGGATGTCTGATGTAAAAATCATTCCTTCCATACCTCTCAGTTCCTTAAAATTGACTATCAAGGGTATTATTGGCATTAATACTTTGACATCTATCTTAGTTTCTTTTCTATTGCTATGCTGAGACACCATAACCAAGGCAATTTATAACAAAAAGAGTTTATTGGGGGCTTATAGTTCAGAGGGTAAGCCCATGGCTATCATAGCGGAGAGCATGGCAGTTAGCAGGCAGGCATGTCACCTCCTTCAACAAGGCCACACCCCCTAATCCTTCCCAAACAGTTCCATCAACTAGGAAATCAAGCATTCAAATATATGAGCCTGAGAGACCATTCTCATTCAAATGACCACAACCTCTGACCACCCCTGCCTTTTTCTCTAACCATGGGATCAGATTAGACCAAGCAGAATGGATCTCATCTTTGTGTTGAGACCAAGCCATCAGTCAATCAGTAAAGTCTTCAGAGAAACACTGCTCAGAGACGAGGGAGGAAAAGTCAAAACTGAGATGAAGTCACATTGGGCATAGTAGTACTTGCCTGTGATCTCAATGCTTGGGAGCCTGAGGCAGGAGGATTGTGCTTTTTGAGGCCAGCCTGGTTTTGTAGCAAGACTCTGTCAAAGCCAACAACAACAAAAAAATGAAACCACTGTGCCCGCCCTTCTAGAGTAACTAAAGCCAAGAGAGGAGAAATGACTCACCTACTGAGCTACCTGACATTAACTGATTAACTGAATGTCTTTGGACCTTGATCTCTGCTTATATTCTGTTTGTGATGCTTGTTTCAGGCACAGGCATATTATACCTCAGAACTGAGGTATAAAAACAGTGAGAACGTAGCCATCCTGGTAGCGATGAAGATGTTCTAAAGGGAGACCCGGGCCCCAGTCTTTGTTTATCGGAGTATTCCAGTAGGCTTGGTGCTGCTCTGGGAGGTTCCTTCCACATGACCTCTGACCTCCACATGTCCCTGATGATGGACCCCAAGAAATCGGAATTTCCCTGGGAATCTCATAACGGGAGAAGGAAAAGCCTGCTACTATCAGTCAGATGGTGTGCTTGCTTTCTTTCTTTTTGTTTTTTTTTTTTTCTGTCACAGTACAAGAAAAGAAACTAATATACAGGCCAAAATGGAGTCACTTGTGCTCAGTGCCACACAATCCAAACAAAACTGTAAGGAAATGTAGATCCCATCAGGTTAAGTTTCCTGAAAACTAGAAATTCCAGCCTGAGTTACTTCGAGGAGAAAATCCCTGAAAAGGTGGTGGTGGGAAGTGAACGTGGGGATCAGTTCATAAGAACAACATGTAACAGTACACAGACTGTGACGCCGCCAGTGCTTGTGTGTACCACGACATCAACAGTGTCCCGTCTGCTTTAACCTTTAGAAGGCTGGACGGATGTCAATCCATCACCTCCCCTCCTGCTCTTTCTTTGTCCCAGTTTTATAAAACACATTGTCCACTGGGGGCTTTCTTTCAATTTTGTAGACTTGGAAAATGCCCCAATCTAAGAAGAGAGAATAAAGGACAATTAGATCTACCACTAAATTTGTTGTTTTGAAGATTTACTTTTAGTTTATGTGTATGAGTGTTTTGCCTGTGCATTTGTGTACCCACAGAGGCCAGAAGAGGGTGCTTGATTCCCCCTTGGGATTTGAGTTACAGATGGTTGAGTCACCATGTGGGTGCTAGGAATTGAACCTGGGTCCTTTGCAAGAGCAATCAGTGCCCTTAACCCTGATGCCATCTCTCCACCCCCACCCCCATACCCTATGACTAAATTTGTAATTTTGTCTTGTTTTGTTTTTATGGCTCAGGCTGGCTTCAACTCCTCTTCCTCCTAACTCAGCCTCCCTGTGTGGGATTATAGGTGCATACCACAAGGCCTGGCATGACTTTCTCCTTTGACATATCCATCTAAGTGTGGTTGGGTGAATTAAGAGAGAACCAACTCCACAAAGTTGATTTCTGATCTCTGCGTGTGCACGGTGTCACACATGCTCCTCCGTCATGCACACATACACAATAAAAATGAATGAAAACTAAATAAATTAAGGTGTTTGTATTCCTGACTCAAAGGAAGGGAGTCATCGAGAGGTAGTTGATCTCAATGGCGGTACAAAGGCTCTTCTGGAATTGCTGTGGGGGTTGCTTGGAACCAGCCACCCTGCTCCAGGATGGTCTTGGAAGTAATCTTCTCCCTCACTGCTTCTCCTAAGCGCTCCTCTGCAAGGAAGCCGTTCTGGGGCACTGCACTAAGCTCGGAGTTTCCCTCCTTGTGGCCATAGTGGCAGCCTACTCTGTGACATGACGCTGAGACTTGCAGGGTGAGGAAGTGTCAGCCTGACAGGGAGTCAGGAGATGGTTCCGGGTGTAGGACACAGTGTATGTGTGAAGGTTGCGAGTGTGCCCTGAACTCTGGAATGGAAAGGAAAACTGCAGCTTAAGCTCAAAGAGGAGGCTGGAAGGAAGTGTAGTTGACGGAGGAGTCCGAGGGCTCAGTGGGACTTTAAAGTCTCCGTACAAAATGTTTGTTTGAAGGGCTTCAGGGAGCAGTTGACTTTGAAGATGTGAAGTAGCTGCCTGCTGTCCTTGTTTTCCAGATCTGCAGAGGCCACCTTAAACCGGCTCCACCTTAAGCAGGCTCCACCCAGTGCAGCCATTGGGTCCCGCTAGAGGCAGGTCGGCAAGGCCTCTTCCCCGCCTAGTTACTCTCACCTTAGCTGCGGTCTAGTTATGGCCATGCTCCTTCGGGTGGCAACCCAGAGGCTGTCTCCCTGGAGGGGCTACTGCTCCAGGGGGTCGCAGGTATAAGTCTATGTGTGGATGGGGTCCTGGAGGGTGGAGAGAGCCTGGCCTGAAGTGCTCGAGGCTCTGTGACGTCACCTTGCAGGCTGAGCAGCCCCCCCCCCTTCCCTCCTGCCACAGGGCAGGTTTGTGCTCCTACTGTCTCTCCCATGACCCTTGCACACTGTTTGTCCCCTGCAGGGTGGACTCAGCCAGGACTTTGTGGAGGCTCTGAAGGCAGTTGTAGGGAACCCCCATGTGTCCACTGCGTCCGCGGTCAGAGAGCATCATGGGCATGATGAATCAATGCACAGGTATCAGAAGGGACCGAGGGTCCTGGGCTGTCCCTGTCTCTCTGACCACCTGTTTGGAGTGCTCTCGCATTCTCCTTACAGAGAGAGGGTGCTCTCTGCCCTGGTCCACTGAGGTCCCTGTCCTCAGGTCCTTAAACCATTCCAGGTTCCTGGAAAAGAGAGGGTGAGAGGCTTCCACACCTTTTCAAACCTCTGAGGCCTGCCTGCTTCTAGGTGTCAACCTCCTGATGCCGTGGTGTGGCCTCAGAATGTGGACCAGGTCAGCCGACTGGCAACCCTGTGCTACAATCAAGGTGTTCCCATCATCCCATTTGGCACAGGCACCGGTGTTGAGGGGGGAGTCTGTGCTGTGCAGGTATAGTGGGGTGCCCTGGGTCTGGTCCTATCACACAGGACACATTTACAGCTATCTTTACCTGCCATCCCAGAGCTCTGGTATGGCTGCTGGGGATCTTGGCCATAAAACGGGGTTCTAGGGGCTGCTTCTGGCCTAGAGACCTAGGTTAAGCAGGGTTTTTGTTGTTGTTGTTGTTGTTGTTGTTTTGGCAATCTTGCTACCAGGGTGGAGTGTGCATCAACCTGACCCATATGGACCAGATCATGGAGCTGAATACAGAAGACTTCTCGGTGGTGGTGGAGCCTGGCGTCACCCGTAAAGCTCTCAATACCCACCTGCGTGACAGTGGCCTTTGGTTTCCTGTTGGTAGGCCTTGAACTAACTACTGTGTCAGAGTACCGAGGGCTTGGGGGCGTGGTTTGAGGGATTTCACAGGACCTCTGTCTTTCCCACAAGGGGGAAAGGACCTCCCCAGGTGCCTTCTCCAGCATTTCATTATCTAGACCCAGGTGCAGATGCTTCTCTGTGTGGCATGGCAGCCACTGGGGCGTCGGGCACCAATGCTGTGCGCTATGGAACCATGCGGGACAATGTGATCAACCTGGAGGTGGTGCTGCCTGACGGCAGGCTGCTTCACACCGCAGGCCGGGGCCGCCATTATAGGTGAGCACTGCCTGACTTAGTGCAGGGCCTCCGGGATAGGATAGGTAAGTGACACTCAGGAGGGCCCTGGAACTTTCTGGAGGGCCAATGCGAGTGCTGGAGTTGGTTTTCCCTGTGCAAGCCCTCTCTGGGTCATTAAACCACCAACACTGTGATGACAATCGGGGCTGCAGGAGACCAGACCAAACCTGTCTTCTAGCTTTAGTGAGTTCTGGACAGTAGTCACGGCCTGGGTACTCACCTACCTTATATGTCCCTGGGCTCAGGAAGAGTGCAGCTGGCTACAATCTCACAGGACTCTTTGTGGGCTCTGAGGGGACTCTGGGCATCATTACATCTGCCACCCTGCGCCTGCACCCTGCGCCCGAAGCCACAGTGGCTGCCACCTGTGCGTTCCCCAGTGTTCAAGCGGCTGTGGATAGCACAGTGCAGATCCTCCAGGCTGCAGTGCCTGTGGCCCGCATTGGTGAGCCAGGGGAGGGTGACAGAAAAGGCCCCCTTAGAAGGTCAGGCCTCACCTGATCAGCCCTCTCCCTGGCTCCAGAGTTCCTGGATGAGGTCATGATGGATGCCTGCAACAGACACAGCAAACTTAACTGCCCTGTGGCACCCACACTTTTCCTGGAGTTCCACGGTTCCCAGCAGGCACTGGCGGAACAGCTAGAGCGCACAGGTGCGCTGGGAACATGGCTCTGTGAGGTCTGGGCTGTCCCGGCAGAGGGCTAAGGATCAGCCTTTCTGTGCTTACTATAGAGGCCATCACTCAGGATAATGGTGGTTCTCACTTCTCCTGGGCCAAGGAGGCCGAAAAGCGCAATGAACTTTGGGCAGCGCGGCACAATGCTTGGTATGCAGCCTTGGCCCTGTGTCCAGGAAGTAAGGTGAGCTGGGGCCGGGGTGGAGGTGGGATCTACCCACTACTTTACTGCATAGAGTAGGCTGAGGCCCACTGAGGGCTGGCTGAGTGGGGTGTGAGGACCAGGGGCAATAGACCACTGCACCCAGCTACTCCAGTCTAAGAGGGAGAACTGTTAATATGCCCACAACATGGGAGTTCATGAGTCAGCCTCAGGTGCAGTGTTGAGCATTAGGAATTCTAAACACAGAGGAAAGGTCAACTGGGGAAGAAATGGAGAGGAAGGAGGCAGTTTAGCCAGAAGGGAAGGCTGGACAGATTATGCAGAAGCTGGGGAGGGTGAGGGCTGCCAGGGACCTGCATGTGGTCCAGGCTTGGATCCAGGGGAGTAGTGAAGACCTGGGCTAGTGAATACACCAAGGCCAGTGGGCTTGAGGACAGATGTTTCATTCTATGACATCGAAGATCTCTGGATTGGTCCTAAGCCTGAGCCACAGCGATTCCTTACCTTTGGGTAGGCGGTGGGTGATGGCGGGGAAACACGCAAGCTTGCCTTCCGATTCAGGCCTATTCCACGGATGTGTGTGTGCCCATCTCCCGATTGCCAGAGATCTTGGTGGAGACCAAGGAGGAGCTGAAGGCCTCAAAACTCACAGGTTTTGCCCGACTTCATTGCTGTGTGGGAGGCACTGGGGTTAGCCAAGGCCTGGGCAAGAAGGGTAGCGGTGACAGTTACTGTTCTCTGGGACCCTAGGAGCCATTGTTGGACATGTGGGTGATGGCAACTTTCACTGCATCCTGCTGGTCGACCCAGATGATGTGGAGGAGCAGAAGAGGGTCAAGGCCTTTGCAGAAAATCTGGGCAGGTGAGGAGGATGGAGCCAGGGAGGGGTGGGGTTTGGGGAGGGCAGAGGCTGAGGGGGAAAGCTGCTAAGAACTTCAATGGTCCTCCTAGGCGTGCCCTGGCACTCCATGGGACATGCACCGGAGAACATGGCATCGGGCTGGGCAAGCGGCAGCTGCTCCAAGAGGAAGTGGGTCCTGTGGGTGTGGAGACTATGCGGCAGCTGAAAGACACACTGGATCCCCGAGGTCTCATGAACCCAGGCAAAGTGCTATGAGGAACGTGTAACACTTGGCCCACCTGCAATCCCTAGAATGCAAAGCCCCTGTTCTGGACTTTTCCTTCATGCCAATGATCGTGCAAGAAATGGAATGGCTGATGCTGTCTGTGCCTGCCAGGTAGCCCTCTGTAGCTGGGGCTCAAGATGAAGGTGAAGAAGATGGACACACTCACAGAAAGCTACCACCGTTGTTCTTAGAAGCCTTTTACTCCAGTAGGAAAACCCAGGGTGTTTCCCAGCGGAGTTTCTTCCTGGCTGGCAGAGATGGTGTGGGCCTACTCCAAGCTAAGATTCCTCTGTGGAGGCCTCTCCTCTGCTGGTGCCCAGCATCATATGATTCACCCTATATATAGTGACAAGAGCATCCATTCCACATTGTTAGGCCTCCTCCTTGCCCCCCCCCAATGAATGTGAACCCCATTTGCAGTTGCATCCTTTCCTCCTCTCTAGGTCTCTAACCTTGGGCTAACGAGCCATTTGTTTTTGGGCCTGGCCCCAGACTAATAGTAGCCTGGGGTGGGGGATGGAGTAAGCCAGTCCCAGCCCCTCTATTTTTGCATACTTGAGGCAGAAGACCTGCCTGTAGTGGTGGGGTCACCGGACAGTTTCCCCACCAGGAAACTGAAGTACCTTCTTCAAGCTGTTATGGAGGACATTAGAAATACAGATGAGATAATTCGTGGTGTCCCTCCCCTCTCCATGGTACAACGCACTATCCACCAGCGTTTACGTTCAAAGTTGGGGGCTTGCCCACTCTGAGGCCTGGCAGTTTTGAGATTCCCTGGCCAGAGCTCTTGTCTGGAAGTGCTTGGCAGTTGTTCCCCAAGAAGTCCACGAGAGGGCGGGCAACACCAGACACTTTCAGGGTGGCCAGTCTCTCTCTAAACATTTTACCCCTTGTGGGTCCCAGTCAACTGTAGTACCACCTTCTCTACTCCGAGGTCTTTGGGTTGGAAAAACAGAAGGAAGGGGAAGCTTCTTGCCGCCACCCTGCCACTTTCTCTGTCCAACTTTTGGTCTTGGGATTTCTTCTCCGGAATGTCTGTCTCATGATTCTTTGCCTTGCTCCCAAACTACTTCAGGATGAAGAAACCCAAACATCAGTCCTGCACTTACCAGGGAGAAAGATCACTAGTGAAACCCCCCCCCCCCCACTTCGAGCCCTCTCAAGTCGAGTTCCAGTGGGCAGGGCTCCTACATACACCTTCCAATAACTGGCAACTCAACAGACAGCCATTTCCCCACAATTTCTTTTATTAAAGAAAATCCCAAACATACAGAAAAGTTGAAAGAACAAATACACTATTCACTGAAATATCAGTCGTTGAAGATTCAACAATGGACATTTTTGCCTTATTTGCTTTGTATATTTTGGGGGAGGGGAGAACATATGGGATTAGATTATACATTTTTTGAAATCATTCAACTATGTATTTCAGCCACTGTCTAAGAAGGACATTCTCCTATGAGTTTCAATACTATCAAATGGCTTAGATGGGTGGTTTTCAAAAGGGGCTCCTGGAGCTCTCAGAAGGCTTTCTGGGCTCCTCAGAGCAAAGGGGAAGAACCCATCTCTTGGCTCTTCCATGTTTTCTTCCTTCTCAGAAAGGCAGAGTAGGAACAACACAGGATTCTAGAGGGATGTCTGGATGGAAGGTGACATATACAAGTGCCACCTGGGAAGCCCAGACAAGCCTTGTCCTACCCTCACACCAGGCACTGGCAATCTGGGTCCAAATTCAGAGGACATGACAGCCAACAGAGGGCTTTGGTGTGCCAGGTGGGGGCGGAAGTCACTGGGGATGGGATGAGCACCAGCCTAGAGAGCCTAGAATAGCACCCGGTGTGGGGCTCAGTGCTGCCCCAACTAACTCAACCACGGGACTCAGCCACAGCACTGCCAAAGCAGCTGGGCTCACACAGCCAAGGTGGGTACACAAAGCCTGTCTCCAGGCCCAGGGGTCAGACAAGGAGATCTCTTTGAGGGCTGGGCCCTGCCCTGCCAGCTCTGCTGGTAGGATTATATATAGAACGGGGAGACACAGTTGCCAGGCAGAAGCTGGAGGTGCTGGGGATAGAACAGTGCCCTTTGCAGTGACAAAGCTACAAGGAAGCCTGCTGCGCATGTGCCAGGCCTTTGGGGCAGATCCCCGACATTCACTGAACTGAGCTGCATGACCGTGTCCCCACTTCGCATGCAAGGAATCAAGTTCAGATGAATGCAGTTACTTGCTCACGATTCTGCCAAGAAGGAAAGTGCCCCAGGACAGACAAGAGCCCAGTTTCTAGCCATTGATAGTGCTCACAGTTAAGGTCCCGAGGCTAAATAAAGCACTCTTAGTTCTCTGAACTTGCCTACCTGCCTTGGTTCATGTGTGTCCACTGGCCCCTGACAAATGTCCTTGCACAGAACAGATGCTTCAGAAAGCATCTGAGGGCAAGGGTGGTAGCATAGTCCAAACTTGTGGGCCTGTTGGGACTGGGCCCCGAGACAGCAGGACAAGGGGCAGGTCTGGAAATAGTCATGGTAGAGAGATGGCGCCATCTCCCTCCAGAGCTCTCCTTAGCTGGCTCTGCAGGAGGCCCTGAAATGCAGCTCCTGGAACCCTGCTAATAGACAGGCAGGCAGGTATGTACTGTTGCCCCCTGCCCCGAGTTTCCTGCCCAGCCTGCAATTTGCCAACTTTTATGAGGCTGAGCGGCTGGTTCTGGTTCAAGGACTGTGAGCTGGAACAGGCCCAGATCAGGGCCTCTTCCTGAGCCTCAGTGAAGCATGCCCGTGAGTCAGCACTCGGCTGCGAACGGAGCAACAGGCAGGCAGAGTGCAGGATGGGGAGCAGAGGCTCTGAAGAACGGGCTTGGGCTGACAGTTCGAGGTGCCTATATCCTTGCAGCCTCTGATGGCTGTAAGATCTTTGCCCCTGAATATCTTTCCAGTAACATCCTATCACAACCAGAGATGACAAAAGACTGACAATCACTCCATGATGCTTAAGAATTTATAAATTTCAAAGACACAGCCAAGCCACCATGTCAAGCCTCTGGCTAGGAGTGGCTAAGCCATTACAGGTGCTGAGGGGGTGTGAGATGGGAGGTGGACAGAGGGAACTGGCATTTGCCTTCCAATTTGACTGTGTAACAACACTTCACTAAAATAAAACCACACGGTGCATCTTTTATTACACACTATTTTAATACCATATCAAAACACCTTGACTGATGAAGATAAGCTTTTCTCCTAGGTTTTGAACAGTTTTAAAACATTTTTGTAAGGTTTTTTTTTTTTTTTGGATTTTAATATATAAATACAGAAACCTATCCTGCATGGGCTGATGTCATGTGTGAATATCAATGGCTAAAATAGTTCCGTGTGCCTGGAAACCGGGGTTGCAGTACATAGAGTCCTGTAGTAAGTCTAAGTTTTCTCAGAAAAAAATTCACAAGGGCCTAGGAAAAATGTCCAGGCATTTTTTCAGTGTATTTGTGATTGTTAAATCCTCTGATGGGATCAGATCTGGAAAGAAAGGCAGGGTGGAGGTGGGGACGGAAGGGGAAGTGTCTGGGATGGGCTCTTCATCTTCCTCTTTTTTTTGGCAAGGAAATCAAGATATCAGAAATTTAAGGGGAGAAAAGTGCAAAACCACGCCAGAAAAATGGGACAGAAGAACAAGAAAACAAAAAATGAATCCCCCAAGGTAGAAAGTTTAGTGATGCAGAGAGCCAACTGGGGTGCTGGGCAAAGTAAGTGACGTGTGCCCGCTTGTCCACCCGCCCGTCCGCCCGCCCTCAGAGTGCTAGAGGTGAGGCCATGGCTATGCTTGCTTTTGTCACTGAGTGGGTTTTAGCTAGGCAGCAAACAGCAGTCTGTAAACATCACAAGGGAAAACACCAGTCGACACGAGACTTTTTTTTATAGAATTTTTTGTTGTTTGTAAACACTTTTTAAAGACAGACCCACACGCCTTTCAAAGGTGAAAAAGAAAATGCCCTTTCCCTCCTGGGTCGAGGGTGAGGGGAAGGATAGAGGTCAATTCATTCTTCTCTCAGACTCACTCTCATCCACTGGGTGTCCTCAGCGAGGACCATTTTCTGGAAGTCAGTGCAGAAGGGTGCCCTGTTCTCTCTGGTGTCCCAAGCTCAGCTCTGTCCAGTGTCCGAGGAACCTCCTCCCAGGAACAGGGGCTGGCTGTCCCTGTGTGGGTCGGAAGAAGTCAGTCCCGCTCCATCTTGCTGAGAGTTGCCGCTCCATCGCACGGTGGCAGCAGCGTGTGTCCCCCTGAGGGCAGGCTGTCGGCTGGGGCATCTGGTTCAGTCCAGGCAGGCCCATCGAAGCCAAACATCATGCCGGCACTTTGGACCTGCACTCTGGAGCTGGGATCCAATCCCTCTGCCTCACTCTCCCTTGCTTGTCATCAGATTTTGAGGTGAGGGTAAAAAGAGCCAATGTCCCTGATTTGCCTGACACCGTCAGCTGTTCTGGGCATTTACTTGGAATAAATAAAATAAACCTAACAAAAGAAAACACAACAAAGAAGAGAGAGAGAAGAAAAGGGATCCCCCAAATCTTTGGGTGTGAGATCAAATGAGAATGGACTATAGGTTTTTCTGGGGCTTATGCTCTATTTGCCAGGGCAAAAACAAACCAAACAAAAGAGAGAGAATCCCCACCACAGTCCTCAAAGGCACAGGTAGAGTGAGGGACAGGATGGGGGGGGTAGTTAAACAAGGTACCCTGGGGGAAGAAATGGAGGTCAGATCCAATGGTTACACAGAAACACAAATGCATGTGTGGGAGGGAGCTGCCTGCTGCTGTGACATTGTGCCATGGACAGACAAATGGACCAAGTGTGGCCTGGAACCCTCAGATTTCAGATTCCCCAAGAAGTGGGGTGAGGCAGCCAGCAGGTGGAAGAACCAGCAATTTCTTTGCAGTGAACCGTGCCTGTTCTACAAGTCATCTATTCAGTGACTGCCCTTTCAAACCCAGTCTCTGAGGGCTGAGGGAGGGTGAGGCAGCTGCAGAGCCTGGCCTGGGGGTGGGGGCTCATCCACTTCAGCCCATGCACCCTGCAGGGAATATCTCTGCCTCTCCTGAGAGAAAGGAGCCTGATTCTACCTTTGCATGGAGGTTTTCATGAGAATATTACTACCGCTCTTTTATGTTCCCTCAACTCCCAGGAACATCTCTCTACTTCCTGGGGACTGCTCCCTGAGGAAAGGCTTCTGTCTTTTTGCTTCTGCTTTCTCCCTGGTGGGGTGTGTATCAAGCAGACCAGTTCCTCTCCCCCAGCTCCCAGAAACTTGACTCTTAGCCCAGAGTCCCCTGCCAAGTATGGGCTCACCTTTGAGAGGAGTCCGTAAGCAGGCCCAGCAGGGTCAATCAGCAGGGTGTTCTGGACAAGATCTGTTCACTTCAAACCATGAATCTATGCAGCTGGAGTGGGGGCATCAAGGAGAAACACATTAGCTGCTGACACACTGTTCTTGCCAAGGGAGCCTTTCAAGGGGTTGGACTCTCAGGAAGGACTTTCTAAATTTCTCCTGAAAGGACCCCAAGGAAACAAGATTATGCCCCCAACTTCATTGAAGCGGGAAAAGGAAGATTACCAACAACAATATCCTAAGGGTGGGAGGGCAGATAGGAGCTTGAAAGATGGGTCAGTGGTTGAGAGTGGTACTGCTTTCCAGAGGACCCAAGTTTGGTTCACACCACCCATCTGCTGGTTCATAGCCATCCCATAAATCCAGCTGCAGAGATCTCACCCTCTGCCCTTTGTAGGCTCCTGCATTCTGATGCACATATACACAGATGCACACGTACCCATACTTTGAAATTAATAAAAATAATAGTTGTAAAAAAGAACAATCCTGAGGGCTTGGGATCACTCCTAGGGCTCAGCAGTTAAGAGCCAGGTTCAGTTCTTAGCACCCAAACAGTGGCTCACAAACATCTGTAACTCGAGGTCCTGGGGACTCAATGCTCTGGTCTCAGTGGGTACACATGTAGCGCATGTGAATACACACAAGCAAAATACCCATGCACATAAACTAAAAAAGTAAGCTGGGTGTGCTGGTGGTGGGTGGCACAGGCCTGTGATCTCAGAATTAGAGAGGCAGAGGCAGGAGCAGCTCTGGAAATTCAAGGACAGACTAGTCTACATAGCGAGCTCCAGGACAACCAAAGCTACACAGTGAGACCACGCCTCAATACACTAAGTAGTTAATAAATATAAAGATTAATAAAATAAAAATAAATGAGCTAAAAAGGAAACGTAGAACAATGACCCTGGCTCAGCAGGAGGCAGGAGCTCAGGAGACTGGGCCTTGCAGAAAAGGCAAAAGTTGCCTTTCGAAGCTCAAAGCAGGGGTTCAGGGAGCCAGGACAGCAACAGATAATATTAGGAAGGTGACAGCAGGTGGACTAGATAGGGCAGTGGGTTCACTGTCTCTAAGGTCTGAGAGGCAAGAAGTAGGACCAGATACAAGGGGCTGGCCAGTGATGAGGATGGCTAGATCCCTCTCTCAGGAGCCCCAAGTCTACCTAGCTTAGATATAACAGTAGGAAGGGGAGCTAGACTCTTGGGCTCTTTGACAAGTGAGCCTGAGACAGGGTGAGGGGCAGGGGGGCGGGGGGCAGGGGGGGCAGGGTATAGTAAGGCCTCCATCTCCAGTGTTCATAGTGGAGTGTCTTGAGCAAAGAAGAAACAGCAAGCACCCCATGACACTGTCCCAACTGTAAAGCTACATCTGGGCATTTTCAAAGAGTAACTAAACATAATCTGCCTAGGTCTTCTCAGGGACAGGGCTTTCCTTTCCTGGCTCTGGTTAGCGCCTTCCTGAGATGTTGCAGGGATCTGTGCCAGACCAAGAACCACAGTTCTCCCAAGGCCAGTCACACACCAGGCACAGCCATGTGTCAGGAAACAGTGTGGGCTGGAGGAACAGAGAGCAGGTGCTGGCCCCAAAACACAGGGTGTCCTCCTGTCCCAGACAAGGAGGTGTCTTCTTTCCAGCTAGAAAAAAAGGCGAAGGGTACTGCTGGAGGCAGAGGACAAAGCTTGGCCTGGCTAATTATAACAGCTCTTGGTACTTACAGGTAGTGGCTTTTCCTGCCTCCTAGCCCTTGGGAGAAGAGGGTGCCACACAGACCAGCAAGGACACCACCTCTACCCTTGATATGTCTCTCTGTATGACAGGGCTCAGAGAGGAGGGTGTCAAGCTCCAGGTGGGATCTTATACACCCCACGTCAGGTCTACCCACTGGCTCTTGTCATTGGAACTGCTGACACAGAGTTGAACCTTGAACGAGTCACTTCTGCTCTGCCCTGGCTATGACTGAACCTTCCGATCAGCATGGTAGATGCTTGATCCCTTTCAGAGAGCAGAGCGTATGCAGGCCATCCCATAACCCAAGAGGACTGGATGACTGGTGAAGGGGATCTATCCATTAGATGTGGGATTTGGCAGAGTTGTTCCTGCCAGGCCCATGTACCTTTTGTGATAGATGCACAGGCAAGGCAGCCTGGCTATCGTGTCCCCCTGAAGCAGCTCCTCCAGGCAGATCACACACTCACCCGCATCTTTAGTCAGCACATCATCTGCAAGAGAGATGGGGATACCATAGGGTTAATCACTAGCAGGTGCGTGGTAGCACAGAGCACACATAGGTCTGTGAGCTACTTACGGACCTAAATCACTATGTGTTTGGAACACACAGTACATGTGGAACACAGCAATGGGAGAAACATGCAAATAACTAGAAGAGCCTTCTGACTGACTTAGAAGCCCGGAACGAGAGGCATGGAAAAAGTACTTGTTCAGACTGCTCAAGAGAGGCTTTGGCGAGCTTCACAATGACATGAGCCATAGGCTGGAGCAGGAGGGATGAGAATCTAGGCAAAGGAAACAGCCTCAGACACCTGGGAACTTGAGGAAGTCTGCTAAGACAAGTTGCAAAGAGACTTGACGAGTCACAGGCAGGGGTGAAACCAAGTCCCCAGGAGCAGATTCATGCTGTGCTATGGAACCTCGGTCTCCTTCGCTTAGCTCAGAGGCAGCAGAGGTAGAGTACGGCGCTTACTTGGAGGCCAACTCTGACCATGCAGCAACAACACACATGCTAATAAGGGCGGGGCATTAGCATGTTAATGCTATAAGACACTCCACAGGAAAAGGCAACGCTCCATTGATGACTCCCAGAGGTGTCTATTAGGTTTCTCCATAGGGACATACCAGTGGCAACTTCCAGATGTGGGGACAACATGTACAGACAGTAGAATAAAAAGACTGGTCAAGGACAAAGTTTAGACTAAACTCCAATAAAGCCACAGGCAGGCACAGTAACGCCCTCACATGGAGTCACCATGAAGTTCCCTGACCACAGCAGAACATCCAGTGAGCATAAGGAGATTCTGTGTGTATGGTTTTCTTTGAGCTGAAGGATCTTACAAGCTAGCAGGGTGCATGGTATCATGTATGAATGACGAAAGGGAAGCCCAGAGAAGTCACATGGTTTGCCCTTGTCAGGGACTTGAGAAGAGTTGCACAAGACTGGGGCCTTTGTTCTGGTGACCTCTCTTCCCACTGCTTCTTTGTGTCCTGATTATTTTGGTGGTAGAACTCTTAAGTACTCATAAAATATGGATTATTCAGAGGCTAGAAGGGCCTAGTGACTCAAATTTCCCTATCAAGAATCCTGGAGAAAAAGGAATAAAAGGAATAAAATTTGATATTGAAGTTCCTGTTTGTAGGAGTTGTAAGAGAAGTCACTGGTTTCCAGGACACTGAGACAACTTGTGGTCACCATTTTCTCCTTTAACATTTAGCTAAGTAAGCCAAGGGTAGAGTAAAAAGGGCAGCATGAACTTAAATAGCAGAAGAGCACCCTAAAGTCGCCAATCCCATCCTTTTAAAGCACTAGATACCATATATAACTGTTTGTGCACACAAGGTAAGAAATTTGTAAAAACACACCTTTCAAGTGAAAGAGAGGGTCAGAAGCAGAGCACATTCGTGTTCTTTTGTCTTGTTGTGAATGTTTGAACACATACTACTCTATATTTAAAATCCTTAACAAAGTGCATAAGGAAGCCAGGCATGGCAATGCAAGCCTCCAATCCCAAGACTCAGGAGGCAGAGGCAGAAGGATCACTGTGAGCAGGCCAGCCTGGTCTACAGAGTGAGTTCCAGGACAACCTAGGCTACAAAGTAAGACCCTGTTTCAAAAAACCCTAATAAATGACATGAAAGAAATGCATTGGTGTGGTGGTTTGAATAGGCCCCTCATAGGCTCATACATGTAGATGTTTAATTCTTAGGGAGTGGTGTCCTTGACAGGGATTAGGTGGTGTACAGCCTTATTGGAGGATTTGTGTCACTGGGGGTGGGCTCTGGGGTTTCAAATGCTCAAGTGAGGCCCAATGTCTCTCTTTTCCTGCTGCTGCCCATCCAGATGTAGAATTCTCAGCTACCTCTCTAGCTCCATGTCTGTCTGTGTGCTCTCATGCTTCCTGCCATGGACTAAATGGTCTCTGAAACTAAAAGCCATCCCGAATTAAATGTTTCCTTTTACAAAAGTTGCTGTATCACAGTGTTTCTTTACAGCATGAGACCACTGACTAAGACAAATGGAATTTGCATTTTACTTGGGAATGTATTCAAAGAGTAAGATGGATTGTGACGAGATAAAGGAGATGAACTCATAATATACAATGCAGGGCCCAGGGGACAGGTGCTTGCTGTTAGTGAGCAGGGTTTCAGCTTTGATGTGCCTTCATGGTAACACATCAGAGATGGGAAGAACACTTGGTTAGTCTAGAGATGGTGGAGCTATCCTGAAGACATCCTTGGCCATTTCTTCCCCATTCTCTGGGGCATCTCACCCCTAACATGGACTTTCAGACTATAGCCTTTCATTGTTTTTGTTTCCTAGATTCCAAACCACCAGCGCATATACACAAACCATTCACACACACACACACACACACACACACACACACAGAGTAAATCTAAAAAAAAAATTTAAGGAGAAAAGTGAGGAAGACACCTGAGGCTGAACTCTAGCCTCTCCATGTCCCCACGTGTCCCACCCCACTCAAGAAAGCACATTGAGCTGGCAAGATGGCATAGTGCATAACTTGCCTCAGAGCCTAACACTTTGACTCCAAGCTGGAATTCACCTACTCCACCCTACACTGTCTTCTGGCTTCCACTTGTGTACAGCGGTACATACCCCCATGTGGGCATGTGCTTGAGCATATGTGTGCACACACACATGAAGGAGCACATACAAGTAGAGGCACTCACACTAAATAAAAGAAAAGAAGGAAGGGAAGGAAGGAGCTCACACAAGGCACTTCCAGAGCTCTGAACAAAGAGTTGTACCACTTGGCAAAGGAGGGAAGAGCATCACAAAACAAAAAGCCCTGCACCCCAGTACAGAGCTCTGGGAATCTACTGAAGCAGTGCACTGGTCACCATGTCCTGGATGCCGTAGTGAAATTTCTGCCTTACCAAAACATCCCTGCAGTGAGGAATCCTGGCAAGTCCTGGAACAACACCCTTGAGCTTTTAGTCAATGCTATGGTATCAGAACAATCTTTTCTGTTTTTTTGTTTTGTTTTGTTTTGTTTTTTGAGACAGGGTTTCTTTATGTAGCTCTAGTTGTCCTAGAACTCACTCTGTAGGCCAGGATGGCCCTGAACTCAGAGACCTACCTGCCTCTGCCTCCAGGGGGCTGGGACTAAAGGTGTGTGCCACCACCGCCTGGCCACAGAGCTCTTTTGTTAAGAGAAAGTCAGTCATACCTCCATCTCAGGGCGATACGATGGCCAAAGATTTTACAGAGAGAGATGCTCCCTCAGCTTCTGGTATGCCTCAGTTCAGGGCCCAAGGCAGGCTGAGGAGGCTAGGCGCTGGAGCTCTGCTGGACACTGGTCTCCCCGGCGGAGCCCTTGCCCTCGATGCACCAAGGTGCCCGCTCTCTTTGTTTCTGAGCACTGGCTGGACCAGTAAAACTGGTCTTGCTTTCCCTAAATTTTAAAAAAATAATCTGGCAAGCAACTACTGGAGGCTTTCCAGCCCTCCCCTTAGGCCAACCCTCAGATTAAGAAAGATTCTACTTTCTATCTGCCTCACTCTGAGCTTTCTACTTTTTTTCTTTCTAATTTAACTAAATTTCATCTTACATAACCATCATAAATTTTATACATATTTCCACTGGTGCCAGCAACCAAGGAAGGTGAGCATGTGAATGGGTGTGTGATGTGTATGTCCGTGCAGAGGCCTGCAGGGCCAAGACCAGGAGGTTCCAGAGCTTGTGTGTCCCGTCAGCTCACCACCCCTCTCCCACTACACGCTCCTTTCTCTACCTCTAGAAAGAGAGCAGAACCTCACACAGACAGAGTTGCTCTGCCCTCCAGTCACTGAAAAACATTTTTTTTTTAGATTCATTTTATTACTTTGTGTGTAAGAGTGTTTTGCCCATGTGTATCTGTTCACTACATGTGTACCTGCTCTCTGAGGAGGTGGTGACCCTTCTTGTGAGTGCTGAGAATCAAACCAGGGCCTTGGGCAAAGAACAAATGACTCTTAACCACTGAGCTGGTTTTCCAGACCCTCAAGTTACTTACCATGAGAAACAGAACTTCACCAGCACTGAAGAAAACCTCCCATTGCCCCTTCCTACAAAGACTCAGACAGCTCATGTCCTATTGCCAGGTATCTCCTCCTTACAGTTTTCTTTTAAAGATTTATTCATGTGTATAGGTGTTTTACATATGTATGTCTGTGAACCATAGGTGTTTCTGGTGCTTGTGGAAGCAAGAAGGCATTAGATCCCTTTGAAACTAGAGTTAAAGATGCCTGTGAGCTGGTGTGTGGGTGCTGGGGATCTAATCCAGGCCCCCTGGAAGGACAGCCAAACTCCTAACTTCTGAGCTGTCTTTTTAGGCTCACATTTTTTTCTAAGTAGATAAGGTAAAGTCTGTGAGACTGGGGTGATGAGAAACTAGGCAGAGCATGTTACCAAGGTTTCAGTGTAAGGACCCAAGAATACACATTTTGTTTGAATTCAAGACATGTTCTAAGGACTCCAGGCCACACACAAACCTAGGTAACAAACACTGTCCTCTTACCTCTAGTGTCTTCAGAGAAAAGGAGAAGAAGAGGAGGAGAAAGGAAGAAGAGGAGGAGGAGAAGAGGGGGAAGAAGAGGAAGAGAAGAGGAGGAGGAGGAGGACCCCCATGCTGCCACAGCCCCCTTTCTGTACTAGTCATGTGGACAGAGGATGCAGACAGACTCTGGAGCCCCTTCATCTCCTTAGGATAAGCTCTACTCACAGGACTAAAGGTGAAGTCTATGGCTCACACACAGGGAGCAGTGGCTTTTCCTGTAAAGGATGAAGAAAGAGCAAGGAGCGGAGGGAAGGAGGGAGGGCGGGCGGGCCGCAGTGCTTCTGCCTTAGCTGCCCAGCCTGCCTTTCCTCTACCCTATCGGTTGAGACCCTTGGGGTCAAACGACCCTTTCACAGAGGTTGTCTAAGACCATCTTGCATACCCAGTGTTTACATTGTAATTAGCAGGTTAGGAGCTATGAAGTAACAACAAAGATAATTTTAAGACTGGGGTCACCACAACATGGGCTGTATTAAAAGGTGTCAGCATTAGGAAGGAGGAGAACCACTGCTCAGGGGACTTTCTCCAGGTTGCTGGTGAGAGAGACATCAACTCAAGTGAGGATATAAAGGAAGACCTGGGTTCTCCGGGAAAGGACTAGAGATTCTCACTTTCCATTTCCTACATTAGTGTGTATGGTGCTTTGAATAAAAATGGCCCCCAATAGGTCCCTAGGGGGTGGCGCTATTAGGAGGTATGGCCTTGTTGGAAGAAGTCCCTTCCTATGGCCTGCAGATCCAGCTGAAGAACTTTCTTTTTTTTTTTTTTTAAAGATTTATTTATTTATTATATATATGAATACACTGTAGCTGTCTTCAGACACACCAGAAGAGGGCATCAGATCTCATTACAGATGGTTGTGAGCCACTATGTGGTTGCTGGGATTTGAACTCAGGACCTCTGGAAGTGCAGTCAGTGCTCTTAACCACTAAGCCATCTCTCCAGCCCAAGAACTTTCAACTTCTCCAGCACCATGTCTGCCTGGATGCTACCATGCTTCCCACCATGATGATAATGGACTGAACCTCCAAACCTGTAAGCCAGCCCCAATTAAACATATTCCTTTATAGGACTTCACAGCAACAGAAACCTCAACTTAGACAGAAGTTCGTTAGTACTGGGAGATGCTTTTGTTTGGAGGCATGTGGACTTTGGATTAGAAAAACAGTTGAGTGTTTTAAGTAGGGCTTAATGGGCACTCCTCATAGGAACATGGAAGACAATGGTGCTAGGGTGATTTGAACTGTGGGGGCTCAAGAGTTTCAGAGGAGAAGAATGTGATATTTTGGCTAAGAACGTGGCTGCTTTCTGCCGTTGTCTAAGAAGTCTGCCTGAGAGTAAATGGAAGCTTTTTGGATTAGTTGCATTGGCAGAGGAAATTTCAATACAGCCTAGTATTGACTGTCGTGTGGTTATTGGTGTTCACTGTTATGAAGAAGATTTATAATGAAAAGGAGCAAGCTGAGCAAGGGAAAAAGTACAAAATACACAGTTCAAGGAGAAAAGGGGGCACCAGGAAATGGAATGAGATAAACAGACTCCAGGAAAGCCTGACAGTAAATGGATAAAGGGTGAGACCTCACCCAGATAAACAACGGTTTAGTTCTAGGAGTGGTGGTGCTCCCTTTAATCCCAGAACTCAGAAGGCAGGGGCTGGCGGATCTCTAAAGGCCATCCTAGTCTATGGAGTGAGTTCCAGAACAGCCAGGCTTAAGCAGTTCAGGAATCATGGAAAACAGAAAGCTGGTGAGGATGTAACTGAATGAGCGAGCCATGTTCCAGCCCCAGCAAGCAGTAGAACCTGGCCAACTCCAGCCACATGGTCCTGGCTTTAGAGTCAAGGATAGAAGAAGGAGGTTATGCACTCTCCTTCTGTGACTAAAGAAAGCCGCTAAGGGCAGACATGTGTCAGGGCGTGCCTGCATCTCCATGAGAGAGACCACAGTGTGAAGCTGTGAAGGTGAAGCCTGGTTAACTTGGAGACCCCCAAATGTCACAGATGTCAGAGCCATGGGACACCTGCTGAGGAAAGCTAACAGGGTGCAACCAGCCCAAGAGAAAAAGTGTGCTGCAGTTAACAGAGATGAAAGGCGCTGGAGATCTCAAGAGTGCCGGACACCAGACACCAGACATGGAGATGCAGAGTTTGGAGTCTGCCCAGTTAACTTTCTGTCTTGCTTTGGCCCAGTATTTCCTCACTATGCTCCCTTTTGGAATGGTAATATGCCATTTTATGTTGAAAATATATGATCTGTTCTTTGATTTTCTAGGGGATTACAGTTAAGAGACTGAGTTTCAGAAGAGACTTTAAACTTTGACTTTTAAACAGTGCTGCTATTGTGATAGACCATGGAGACGTCTGAAGTTGGACTAAATGCATATTGCTGTATGATATGGGTACAAGCCTAAGGGGGGCAGGTAGTGGAATGTGGTGGTTCGAACAAAAATGGCCCCCATAGGTCTACAGGGAATGGCACTATTAGGAGGTGTGGCCTTGTTGGAGGAAGTGTGATTCATTCTCGTCTGTCTACTAATCCACATTAGAACTCTTAGCTTCTCCTCCAACAGCATGTTTGCTTGTGTGCCACCCACCATGTTTCCCACTATGACGATGAAGAAACTGTAAGTCAGCCCCAATTAAATGGTCTCTTTTATAGGAGCTGCTGTGGTCATGGTGTCTCCTGACAGCACTTTGTCTGCCATAGACGTTATTACAAAGTTCTCTGCAGTGACTCTGAAAGCCAAGTTCTCTCAGGCCAAACCCCCTCTGAAGATTTTCTGTGCTACAACAGCAAAGTCAGTGTCTACAAAGAGCTCTTGCCAGCAATCTACAGGACAAAACAGTCTTCATAAGGTCTCAACACATGTGGGACAGAAGTAAATGCAGTACTTGAAGCTATAACTATGGACCTCTCCTTCCATGGTCCCAGGCAAAGACAGGGACAAAGCTGAGCTTGAGCAGGGGAAGGCTAGCTGAAGCAGGGACAAAAGACCCAGGAGGATGGCAGTCACAGGGAAAAAGGAAAGACTGTCTGCTGGCGAAAAAAGGGAATCACTGGGAAAAAAGACATAGCCATAGCCTGCTCTGCCCTCTGGCACACCCAGAAGTCTTCAGGACACACAGACCAAGATAGACAACACGGCCTCCTGCAACTGGGATCCTTTGGCCAGGCAAGTAAGAGATATAGGAACACAAATCTTGTTGGAAAGATCTAAAATCTATAAAATATATTTTATTTTATATTATATTTTATAAGGCCCTGGATTCTATTCTAGTACCCCAAGTATAAAGTATGGGATGGGAGGTGCTAGAATGGAGTCCAGGACCTTGTACACACTAAGCAAGCATTCCACCACCAAGCCACAACTCTAGCTCTTGACATTTTTGACTAGGGACATGATAATTTTACATTCTAGATTTTTCACATTAGAGATGTTTGTTTATACCTATACAGTTGTTAAAGATTTGAAAAATTCTAAAATATAAAACATCTCTGGCCCTAAGAATTTCATGTCAGATCTACTCAACCTGTAGTAGGATATTTTTAAGAGAATCAAGCAGGTTAGACTTATCTGATTTATTATTTTTCAGGGTTGCCTGGGAGTCATGAGCCCTCCCTAGCCTGATACTGTGATTACAGACACCTCTGGTGACAGGACAGCATCCTTAGATTCTCAAAACAACCACACTTTTCCTACTGCCTGAGAAGGTGGGCCTGTTTATTGGGGTTGAGGGCATCCTTCTGATTCACTGTTGACCTTGCAGAGAACACAGTTCCCTGGCAATCACTGTGAGGAGAGCAGACAAACACAGAGGAATGGCAGCACAGTCTGGGCAGCATGAAGTTGGACTATCCTCTGGGAGCCTTGCTTTTCCATGGCAGCTGTAATTTCCTAAATACCACCACGTGCAAAGTTCTGGGCTAGAGGGTTTCGTGTGCAAAGATCGCTATCCTCATTTTATGGGCCAGAAAACTGAGGCTGTACTAGGCTAAACAACTGGTCTAAGTTATAGTGAGTGAGCAGTAGAGGAAGATTGACCTCTGATCATCTGAACTCCAGAACTTACCTTCAACATACCAGACAGATCTAGCACTCAACTTTATCCCCAGAAACATGCTAGAGTGACAAGTGTCACCGAATCCCCCAGATGCTATGATTATATCCCTGTAGATTCATACACTCAATTCTTCTTCTCCTCCTTCTCCTTCTTTTTTGATTTTTCAAGACCAAGTTTCTCTGTGTATCTCTGGGTGTCCTGAAACTCATTCTGTAGACCAGGCTAGCCCCCAACTCACAGAGCTCCATCCACCTGGCTCAGCCTCCAGAGTGCTGGGATTAAAGGCGTGCGTCACCACTACCTAGCTTATACTCAGCTCTAACTCAGCTTCTAAGTAGGAAGCCATGGTGGAACATTGAGACCCTCTTAGTGATAATTTCCAGAGTAATCTACGGATTAGATTTATTCCTTCCAACTGCTGTCACATGGGCTTACGGCTTAACTAAGTGTGTTCACCTGAGCTGCAAAGTAAACAGGAAAAGACCAGGCCCTCAGTTCCCTATGGGTACCACCAGCACCATGGTTTTCCTTGCCCATAGTAGATGATATTCTGTCTAGGCCCCTCTTGATGGCTCTTAGAGTGAGTTTATTTGTCTTGGAACCTACCATGGTCAGAGGCACAAATAGGAGAAAGAATGGCCATGTCTCCCAGCCAAAGGCCATTGAAGGCATAGAGCAGCTGAGAGCCTTCTCACCACAGTAGCCTTGGCCCAGGACTTGCCTTCTTTGGCTTGTCCTCAGTTACCCCAACTTATAACCAAGGCTCTCAAGAACAGAAGGTTCCTCACCACCACCACCACCACCACCACACACACACACACACACACACACACACACACACACACACACACACAGTGCTGCTAAAAGAAAACAGAGCCCCCCTCACCTGGAGGCTATGCCTCCAGCTGTTCAACTCATCTTGACACCAGGAAGCAGATAAGACAGATAGCCCTTACTTACCATTGTAGGACAGGCGAGGTTTGCTCAGACACATTATAAAGTGCATTTCCATCTCATCGGAAGCCACAGACTTGGAACAAATGGGGCACTTGAAACCTAAAAGAGAGGAAACAGCATGAACTATCTTCTCCAAATCCAGCGATATAGCCACAGTCAGTGTGGACATGCTCAACCACGACGCTGGAATCAGTGTGGAATCAGTGCTTGGGACAATGACAATGTACACAGAACAGGGATCAATTTGTCCTTCACTCATTGAGACTTTACCTTTTCTCCACAGCCATCAGCTTTCAATAGGGCACTCTGCCACACACCATTTAACAGAATTGCTGACTTGACTTTCAGTGGGGTCCAGTAGACAAGACTAGGGAAGCAGCAAGCCAAGGCAGCTGAATAATATTTAAGTCTCAGAGCTTAACATCATTTGGTCCCTCCCAAGGGAGGAGTCATTACTGACAGCTGCACCTCCATCCCTCACCTCCTTACCCACCTACTTGGGTAGCAACTTCGTCTTTCACCCAAGCATCCTTTGCGACCTTTGAAACTAAGCCAGCTACATCCCTTAAGACGTATATAGTCAGCAGGGGGAGAGTGGGGTGGGGTGGGGTATCTCCAAAGGGCTTCTAAATGCTGCTAAGTAAAGCAGCTATTTCCAATGCTGGGCAAGCACAGGCCATCATGATCTGCCATCTTATGCCTAGGGCAATCCAGCCTGTTACACATCAAAGGGGCTCCTCAGCATAGGATCAGGATTGTAAATTCTGGTTGAGGATCTTCTGAGTTGAACTCTAATTAAGCAAAGCTAATTTTTTTGTGTGTGTTTTTCAAGACAGAATTTTTCTGTATAACAGCCCTGGCTGTCCTGGAACTCACTTTATAGACCAGGCTGGCCTTGAACTCACAGAGATCTACTTGCCTCTGCCTCCTGAGTGCTGGGATTAAAGGCTAGGGCCACCACTACCTGGTGGAAAGCTAACTTTTTCACACAGAACCACACATGTGACACACACACACACACACACACACACACACAAAATCTCTCCACCCCAGCAGGCTAATGTACTGATGAACATGCCCAGTGATAAGATAGATGAATTAATAATTAATTCAATCTTTTCCATTTTGCATTATTGAACAGTTTCAAAGAGATCAATTTTTAGCATGCAAATTCTATCACAGATCCAACAACTTTGAAAGGTTATTGATTTGTCTGTATTCATTTGTGTTTATCAGTTTCCTTTTTTGGTGACAATGAGTCTTACCTGCCTGGCCTGGATGTGCTAACACAGTGCATAACACAGTGTATCTAACTACTGGTGAAGAGATTTCACTCTTCTATTTGTTTTCAGTTAGAATTTTCATAGTTTGATGTTGGTAATGAGTATCTACAATAAATATATTTTAAATTTATGTATGTGTCACTTGCATATACGGATGTGTGGCGTATATATGCCTGGTCCTCATGGAGGTCAGAAGGGGGCACTAGATTCCCTGGAACTGGAGTTACAGATGGTTGTGAGCTACCACATGGGCCCTGAGAATCATACCTAAATCCTCTGCAAGAGCAGCCAGTGCTACTAAACCACTGAGTCATCTTTCTACTTAGCCTACTCCGCAATCTCTGCCTTTTTTGAGACATGGTCTCACTGTGAAGTCCTGGCTCATCTAGAACTTGCTATGTAGACTAGGCTGGCCTTGAACTCACAGATCTGCCTGCCTCTGTCTATCCTGCAACATTTTTTAAAGAAAGAGATAAAAGGCCAAACATTCAAACATGCAGTTGTGAGCCTGAAGACAGAGGAGTTCACACCCTCCCTAGTGTCCCTCACATGATGCCTTGCTGATCTGGTTGAAAGCTCTGACTGGGGTAAAATGGCACAGACAGGAAGCAAGGGACACAGGGTATCTGCTTGAATTCTTCAAATCTTTCTCTCAACAATAACGCTTAAAAAATAATCTCTCTGTGTAGCCCTGGCTGTCCTGGAACTTGCTATGTATACCAGGGTAATAACTTCAAACTCACAGAGGTACAGAGATCTGCTCCCTTCTGCCTCTGAGTGCTGGGATTAAAGACATGTGCCACTAGCTCATATCAATAATGCTAAGGACCAAACAGAAGACTTGGTGCTCAGCTAACAGCAGCTGAAGTGGATTCCAAGGCATAATTCCTACCCCACCCACTCCCTTGCTTATTTCCTTAAAAATTCTCAGCACCTACATCTCACCTAAGGTCTTAGAAATAGTATCAATACCTCACCTCTGCATGGTTACAAGTCCATAAAATCCAGAAGACTGAAAGAACAGGGTGTACTGTCCTGTTTCCTGGTAGAACCTGTTTTTAAAAGTGTACTTACTTTTTAAAGCCATCTTAGAAATGTGCAGTGGAGAGATGAGGAACAAATCTGAGTCTCAGAATAAAGACATTTCTTCGTTTCTAACCTAAGTTCTTGTATGCATTGTACAAAAGATTTTCTGTAGTTTCCAAATCAAAGGAGCAAGATTTCTTAAGAATTTAAATGAGCCAGGCAGTGGTGGCGCACGCCTTTAATCCCAGCACTTGGGAGGCAGAGGCAGGCGGATTTCTGAGTTCGAGGCCAGCTTGGTCTACAGAGTGAGTTCCAGGACAGCCGGGGCTACACAGAGAAATCCTGTCTCAAAAAACCAAAAAGAATTTAAATGGCCTTAGAGAATACCTGTTTGGTATACTCTCTAAGTTAGCACCTGTGTGTAGGCTGAGGGCTGGGGCCACAGTGGCATGGAAGGACCACCCAGGTCCTAGTGGGCACATCCACAGAGGCATTCAAGCCATCTGTTTCTAGAACAAGCCTATATTTCCCAGGCTGTGCATCTCCCTAGCATTTCTGAAAGAGCAGGATGATAGTCCTCTGTTCCAGTGTAAAGTACTGAGTGAAGAAAGGGTCAAGTTACCACTGAGATACTGGTAATCTGGCCTCAGTAAGCTCTAAATGTCACTAGACAGTTATATCCTAGGGGACAAAAGGCTGAGACCCTTGGATTTAGAATAATCTCTTCATTATACTGAAGAAGGAGCAGGCCCCAGTAAGGCCTTGTCGCAGTGTGAGGTCACATAGTGAGACGGCACAGCTGAGGCTACAGGTCTTCTTAGGTCTCAGTCTAAACATCAAGGAAGAAAAAGTTGCTCATGGGATTTTGAGGAAGAGGTAAGTTGGGAAGTAACCCCTTGGCAGACTAAGTGCAGAGCGGCAGGAAGAGCCACGTTTTAACTGAAGCAGGGTCCGAGGCTCTTGGTGCTTTTGTTTTCACTTACACGGCTCACAAAGTCATTAGGAACCACTCTTGTAAGAGCAGGGAAGGACAACATAATGGGGTTTTCTAGACTCGACACCTTAGGTAATAATATATCCCTCCCTGGCCCTCAGTTTTATTACTGGAAAAAGTGGAGGAATTCATTGCATGTTTGCAAAGACCAAATGAGATGACATCATATGAGGCCTAGAGCAGTGAGTGAGGAGGAAGGACCGAGGGGGCCAGAGGAAGGACTGAGGACTAAGGAGATAAACTCGAAGACTAAGACGGGCACTGGTACTTTCCAAACTGCCAATGTGGAAACAGGTCTCCACTTGCAATATGATAATGGGCAAATAGTATTTTGCACTTACTGAGTCATTTCTATAGACAGTTATATGTTTTCCATGGCTTCTTTTTTATAATAATACAGTGTAAGAACTATCAATAGGCAGGTACTACATTAACTCTGTTTCACAGAAACACAGTGAAAAGCTCATGTAACTTGTTCAACATTAACAGCGCCAGAAAGAGACAGAGCTATCACCAAGCCAGTCTGACCTCAAGCCAGCACCCGCTGTGCCCTCTGGCTGACAAGCGCATGAGAAGGGTTCAGCAGCAAGCACACCACCACCACAGGTCTTAAAGTCACTTCAGATTTTCTGCATTGCCCACACCCATGGTTCTAGATAATCCCTAAACATGGATGATACTTTTTTCTAGGAACTTCGTTAATGTAGAAGATCAGAATCCAGAATGCAGCAAAGTCCTCTTGGTATGGAGCCTACAGCACTGCTTATAAGATTCTGAGTTTGTTTATTGCCTTTCAAATGAAAATAAAGGCAAAAAGTAAGAGGGACAGGAAACAATGGAGAGTTGAGGGGAAAGGCTAATGTCCCCACCTTCTTTCCCGAAAGGTCATCCGATGAGCAAGACGGATTCTACCTCTTTCCTGCCCCAATCTTTTCTTGTACCTTTCAAGTCTTGATTCAGCACCAACAGCCCTATAGGATGACAAATACTGATATTTATGAACTATCTGAAGGTTAAAACTTCTTGAAAATCTTTATCCCATTTTGGAAGGAAGTCTGTACTGAATGGAAATCAGCCTTGCAAACCCAAGGTCTGCAGAGATGGCCAGGCCAGGACTTTTCAAACCTCTTTAGAGGCCTCGACACTGCTCCAGAGTGCTTTAAGAGAAAAATCACAGGTGGTCTCTTCAAGATGCTCCCCTGTTCAGGAGGTGGGGGCAGCCTGTGCTCCCAGAGCTTCTCCCACTCCTGTCCTCAACATTTGTGACTGCCACTAATTATAGCTTGCTGGCTAAGCAAGCTGTCTCCTGTCAGCACACTGAGGCAGAGGTGGTGGCTTATGGAGCCAGCCCCTCGTTCTGTTAATGTCTTAAATGAGCAGGACTGCAGTAACGTGCTTTGGCCTGATTCTGTGTTTGGTGGCTCTATCATGCAACAAGTACTGCTACAAGATTCAACCAAGAGTAACCAAAAGGGGCTGGAGAGATGGCTCAGCAGTTATTCAGAGGACTGACTGTTCTTTACAGGTTCCCAGTTCAATCCCCAGCAACCACATGGTGGCTCACAACCATTTGTAATGGGATCCAATGCTCTCTTCTGGTGTGTCTGAAGACAGTGACAGTATACTCACATACATAAAATAAATATATCTTAAAAAAAAAAAAAAAGAGTAGTCAACAGAGGACAAAAGACCCAATCTTGTCCTTTCTAAGTCAGAAAAACAAAGGGCACTGGCCCTCTAGAGCCCCAGCAGCCTCCTCTACAAGTGCACGGCTTGAGTGGGAGTCCTTTGGCATG